AAGGCAGAAGAGAAGAGAGGAGGAGGAGGAGGGGGAGGAGGAGGAGGAGGAGGATCAGGAGGAGGAGGAAGACGACGACGACGCCGACGAGGTCCGAAAGGGGCCCAGGAAGTGTCACCGTGGCTTCTCTGGTGTTGGGAGCTCCAGCTGGTCTGAGCGGCCTGGACGAGCACAGGGGACCGGCGGACTCCCTCCGGGCGGGAAGGAGGGGCTGGCCATCGCTCGGACGTCCATTATCTGTGTTTTTTCGGCTTCGTGCGTGGCTTGTTCGCCAAATGATCAAGGATGCTCCTCGATGGTCCACGCCGAAGGAAAAATGCACACGTCCGCGCGATGCCAAGGGGAGGGAGGTGGCACGACCACTGGCGAACCCGAGCTACCACTGCGGATCCAGCAGACGCCGGGTCACGCATCGGACACTTAGGTCGGGCCTGTCCCGCTACAAGGAGACTTGAGCGAAAAATTGCAAATACTGTTTTTTTTTATATATGTATATGTATACAAAGATTGAACCAAACACAAAAAAGAAAACACAACAAAACTGGCGACGTACCCAACCCTTGAGCAATGCGGGGCAGAAGTACATCAGGATTGCTACACCGGGGGCGATGGCGCAAGGTGGACGCATGTGATTTTGCAAACAGCAATCGGAAGGCTCGCAGGCCCCCGATCAAGATATAAGGGCGTCGTAATGGTTACTAACGCAGCCCCCCCCAGGGACGGCGAGGTCTCGCTCAGGTCTCCGCGGTGCCTCAGTCCGCAGGCCCCCCCAGCAGCCCTCGAAAGTGGCGACGGTGTCGCAGATCGCAGCCCCCCAGGGACAGCGAGGTCTCGCTCAGGTCCCCGCGGTGCCTCGGTCCGCAGGACCCACCAGCAGCCCTCCAAAGTGGCGACAGTGTCGCAGATCGCAGCCCCCCCAGGGACGGCGAGGTCTCGCTCAGGTCCCCGCGGTGCGTCAGTCTGCAGGACCCACCAGCAGCCAGCCACCCCCAGGGATGGCGAGGTCTCGCTCAGGTCCCCGCGGTGCCTCAGTCTGCAGGGTCCACCAGCAGCCCTCGAAAGTGGCGACGGTGTCGCAGATCGCAGCCCCCCAAGGGACGGCGAGGTTTCGCTCAGGTCCCCGCGGTGCCTCGGTCCGCAGGACCCACCAGCAGCCCTCGAAAGTGGCGACGGTGTCGCAGATCGCAGCCCCCCCAGGGACGGCGAGGTCTCGTTCAGGTCCCCGCGGTGCCTCAGTCCGCAGGACCCACCAGCAGCCCTCGAAAGTGGCGACAGTGTCGCAGATCGCGGCCCCCCCAGGGACGGCGAGGTCTCGCTCAAGTCCCCGCGGTGCCTCAGTCCGCAGGACACACCTGCGGCCCTCGAAAGTGGCGACAGTGTCGCAGATCGCAGCCCCCCCAGAGACGGCGAGGTTTCGCTCAGGTCTCGTTCAGGTCCCCGCGGTGCCTCAGTCCGCAGGGCACCCGACGCAGATCGCAGCCCAGGGATGGCGAGGTCTCGCTCAAGTCTGCCCTCGCGACGACAGTGTCGCAGATCGCAGCCCCCCCCAGGGATGGCGAGGTCTCGCTCAGGTCCCCGCGGTGCCTCAGTCTGCAGGACCCACCAGCAGCCCTCGAAAGTGACGACAGTGTCGCAGATCGCAGCCCCCCCGGGGACGGCGAGGTCTCGCTCAGGTCCCCGCGGTGCCTCAGTCCGCAGGAGCCCCCAACAGCCCTCGAAAGTGGCGACGGTGTCGCAGATCGCAGCCCCCCAAGGGACGGCGATGTTTCGCTCAGGTCCCCGCGGTGCCTCGGTCCGCAGGACCCACCAGCAGCCCTCGAAAGTGGCGACAGTGTCGCAGATCGCAGCCCCCCCAGGGACGGCGAGGTCCGCACAAGGCAAGAGCAGAGGAGAAGAAAAAGGAGGAGGAGGAGGAGGAGGACGCGACCGCAATGCTCTATTCAAAACAAATACCCAACCAGGGAGGGTTGGGAACAATTACGCTACCGAGGAACCCCACATACTCATATTATGGCTGGAGTGATGAGAGCTGAAGTGAAGCATGTGAGAATGATGTTGGTGGCGGTTGCCCCGCAGATACCGCTGTGCCCTGGACGGCCGTCACGGATAGCGGCCGCGGTGGGAAACCACCCCCTGCGCACCCCTTTATGGTGTCGAGAATATGCCATGCTTGCTGTGCCCTGCGCGACCGTCACGGATAGCGGCCGCGGTGAGAGACCACCCCCTGCGCACCCCTTATGGTGTCGAGAGTATGCCATGCCTGCTATGCCCTGGACGACCGTCACGGATAGCGGCCGCGGCGAGAGACCACCCCATGCGCACCCCCTATTGTCGAGAATATGCCATGCCTGCTGTGCCCTGGACGACCGTCACGAGTAGCGGCCGCGGTGAGAGACCACCCCCTGCGCATCCCTTTGGTGTCGAGAATATGCCATGCCTGCTCTGCCCCGGACGACCGTCACGGATAGCGGCCGCGGTGAGAGACCACCCCCTGCGCACCCCCTTTGGTGTCGAGAATATGCCATGCCTGCTGTGCCCTGGACGACCGTCACGGATAGCGGCCGCGGTGAGAGACCCCCCTGCGCACCCCTATGGTGTCGAGAATATGCCATGCCTGCTGTGCCCTGGAGTCACGGATAGCGGCCGCGGTGAGAGACCACCCCTGCGCACCCCCTCTGGTATCGAGAATATGCCGTGCCTGCTGTGCCCTGGACGACCGTCACGGATAGCGGCCGCGGACCACCCCCTGCGCGTGTCGAGAATATGATGCCTGCTATGCCCTGGACCACACGGATAGCCGCGGTGAGAAACCACCCCCTGCGCACCCCCTACGGTGTCGAGAATATGCCATGCCTGCTGTGCCCTGGACGACCCTCACGGATAGCGGCCGCGGTGAGAGACCACCCCTGCGCACCCCCTGTGGTATCGAGAATATGCCATGCCTGCTGTGCCCTGGACGACCGTCACGGATAGAGGCCGCGCTGAGAGACCACCCCCTGCGCACCCCATATGGTGTCGAGAATATGCCATGCCTGCTCTGCCCCGGACGACCGTCACGGATAGCGGCCGCGGTGAGAGACCACCCCCTGTGCACCCACCCCCGATGGTGTCGAGAATACGCAATGCCTGCTGTGCCCTGGACGACCGTCACGGATAGCGGCCGCGGTGAAAGACCACCCCCTGGGCACACCCTCTGGTGTCGAGAATATGCCATGCCTGCTGTGCGCTGGACGACCGTCACGGATAGCAGCCGCGGTGAGAGACCACCCCCTGCGCACCCCCTTTTGGTGTCGAGAGTATGCCATGCCTGCTGTCCCTCTGGTGTCGAGAATATGCCATGCCTGCTGTGCCCTGGACGACCGTCACGGATAGCGGCCGCGGTGAGAGACCACCCCCTGCGCACCCCCTCTGGTATCGAGAATATGCCATGCCTGCTGTGCCCTGGACGACCGTCACGGATAGCGGCCGCGGTGAGAGACCACCCCCTGCGCACCCCTATGGTGTCGAGAAGATGCCATGCCTGCTGTGCATGGACGACCGTCCCGGATAGCGGCCGCGGTGAGAGACCACCCCCTGCGCACCCCCTAGTCGAGAATATGCCATGCCTGCTGTGCCCTGGATGAGCGTCACGGATAGCCGCCGCGGTGAGAGACCACCCCCTGCGCACCCCTCTGGTATCGGAAATGCCATGCCTGCTGTGCACTGGACGACCGTCACGGATAGCGGCCGCGGTGAGAGACCACCCCCTGCGCACACCCTCTGGTGTCGAGAATATGCCATGCCCCCTGCGCACCCCCTCTGGTGTCGAGAATATGCCTTGCCTGCTGTGCACTGGACGACCGTCACGGATAGCGGCCGCGGTGAGAGACCACCCCCTGCGCACACCCTCTGGTGTCGAGAATATGCCATGCCCCCTGCGCACCCCCTCTGGTGTCGAGAATATGCCCTGCCTGCGATGCCCTGGACGACCGTCACGGATAGCGGCCGCGGTGAGAAACCACCCCCTGCGCACCCCCTATGGTATCGAGAATATGCCATGCCTGCTGTGCCCTGGACGACCCTCACGGATTGTGCAGACGCCTTGGGTGTATGATGCAGTGAACATGCGTCTTGTGTGTGCGAGTGTGTGCATGCGTGCGGCTGTATGTAGACGCGTGTCGCATGTACTTGCCGTGCATGTGTTGACCGCGGGTTGAGGAGAGGAATGAAGAGGAGGAGGGGAGGTGAGGAGACGCGGGTGCGCCGCGGCAGGGAAGAAAACCAGAACCCCACGAAACATGTGGGGAAAAAATAATCAAAACGTCCCGTGACTATGTTATGACTATGTTTGAACATTCCCCCTGCAGAGGGACAGGCCCGACAAAGGGCTAGGGATCGCCTGGCTGCAGGCATGCTTCGAAGTCTGAGCACAGGCAAGCGTTTCGGAAGTGTGGCCTGCAGGGGCAGGGCTGTCACATGTTTCGGTGCTCGCTCTGGGGAGAGCTCCATGGCGCCACTCGCTCCGCCCGTGCGTCGATGCTGCGTCGAAGGTTATCCGACTTGAGTCGAGCTCAGGCCGACCTCGAGTCGAACCTGAAGCGAGCTGGACCCGAACTGGAAATGCCCCCAAAAACCAAACGTCTGACGCGTGGGTGCCGAGCCCTGAGGTCCGACGTGTCCGCTCCTGCATCAGGTGTTCGAGCCGGCTCGGGCTGCGAGGGTCCCCGGGGCCGAAGGATGTGCGAGAATGAGTCTCGTGTATCCGATCCCCATCCCCAGCGGCGCGGCCTGGGCCCCACTGGCCGATTTACACCCCTAGATGGGGATATAGGCCGATTGCCCTTCGGGCCTCGAGGGGCGTATCACCAACTGGGGGGGGGTAATATGGCGGGGGTCTCGAAGGGGATGGGCATGGGGATGGGGATGGGGATAAAAACGACACCGAGAGGACGCCCGCCGTGACAAAACTGCAGCGCCAGGATCTCGGGGAGGAGGGCCCCGCAGCAGCCGAGGGCGGCGCAGGCGCCCGGGCGCCCTATCCTCGCGGCCGCTCCTCGGCCGCGCCCCGCCACCCGAGGGGTCGGGTGCCGCTGGAGGTGCCCCTGGCCAAGGGGTGCCCCCCCAGGATGCTCAGGAGGGACAAAAACCACACAGACACAGTGCATCGTCGATTCCCAGAAAATGTGCGAAGATATGGGAACTGGGGGAGGGGGGGGGGGCAACGGAAACCCAGAAACCCCGAGGTCGAGTGCTGCTGGAAGTGCCCCTCCCTGGTCCAGGGTGCCCCCAGCTCCTCGCTCTCTCTGGAAGCCCCTGTCGGGGGCGCGCAAACATGGATTAGCGATCCATGAATCTGGCGCGCGGTCGCCAAATCCATGGATCGGGGGAGGTCCCGTCCGCAACCCCTATCACCGCCACAAGACCGTCGTCCACCCACTGTCCCCCTCGTCACATGCATTGCTTGACCTCGCATGCTGTAGAGTCAGTTCAAGTTGCCAGGATCCAATCAAGAGGACTGGTCCGTACCTACGCTGGCCATCCTCACCAGGGAAGATGGACAACGAGGGGGATGAGGAAGGGAGCTGAATGTGGCCGCCGCGGTCAAGGCATAGGCTCGCATAAGTGACTAGCGATTGCAAGGGAAGCGGGCTGCCCCAAGCGCCCTCAAGCCCCAATGCCCACCGCAGAAAGCATGAACTCCCAGTCCTCCCGCAACTCCTGAGCGATAACGCGTCTGCACGCGCGCGCCCTACCTCGCACCCTGCCGCTTGCGCGAAACAATCTGCTTGCTATCGTCGATACTCGATCGTGATTCATTGTCGTGATTGCCGTATGCCGACCGTTGTCCATCCTCCCGATCGCACACATTCGCGGCAACGTGCCCTTTCTCGCACGACAGTGCTCTGAGCTCTGTCTGGGATGGAAATCCGTTGTTTCGCTTGATGTCCCATACGAAGAAACATCGGCAACTGAATGATTTAATGGGTGTTAGCTTTCGGGATCCTCGTTCGGAGCCTCTTGGAGCAACTCTTGAAGCATATTGTGGCCTCCTGGGGCCGTCCCGGGGTGACTGTGGAGAGTCTTGGGCCGTCTTGGCGGCCTCTTGGCGTCCTCGTGAGCCATCTTGAAGCCCCTGGAGTCCTGGAGGTCCAGATAATCCACCGGAGGTCTCCACAGGGCCTGGCGGCCCTTGGGGCGAAAGCGGATTCGGACGTGGGGGAGTTCGCTGCCCCTGGACCTAAGGGACTTGGACACCAGTTATATAACCCCTCCAGAAAACCCCTCGGCCCATCCTGCCACAGTGCCTGGGTTGTCGGTCTAAGAACTCTTGGATGCCTGTTGGGGTCTCTGGAAGCCTCTGGGCAGCCTCCTGGAGGCAGATGTGAGGCCTCTTTTGGGCCCCTTGCGTCCGGTGGTCCTTGGGGGCCTGCTGGCGGTCTCTGGGATCCTGTCTGGGCGGCGCCCTCGACATGTGAGTGGGCCTCAGACGGCCCAGGAAGGCCCCACCCAACACGTGTGGGAGGACCTCCATGTGTACGTACACCACGCCGTTCGGTCGGTCACGGAGTTCGGTGTAGAAGCGCCCCCGCCGCAGAGACGTGGGAGACTGGAGCATCCGTACACCAGACACCATGCCCGACGCAACGACGTGGCGCATGCAGCGGGACCTCTCGAACGTCACGTGAGGGCTTCCAAAATCGCTAACAGGGCCCCGTGGGGCCCAGCGGCGAGGCAGGCTCGATCCTCGAGCCTCGTTCCTCACACCTCGAGCCTCGATCCTAGAGCCTCGATCCTCGAACTGCGAGCCTCGAGCTTGGAGCCTCGAGCCTCGCGCCTCGCGCCTCGAGCTCCGAGCCCCGAGCCCCGAGCCTCGCTCCTCGGGCCGCGAGCCAAAAGACAGGAGCCCCGAGCCCCGAGCCCTGAGCCGGCAGGGCGGCCGATTGGAGAGGAGAGGGCCCCGCGGGGTCCGAAGACAACATCTCGCATCGGGAGAGCGGAGCGAAAGGGAATGAGCGTCGGAACGGCCGCGCCAGGATGCACAACAGCGCCATGCAACCGGCGGACCGCATTGGCACACCAAAACCACCATGAGGCGGACGGGCCCTGGCAAAACACCCGAAGGCTGGTCCACTTCTCCCCCAGGACCAGCTCATTCCAGGGCGGAACATCGAAGCCGAACCAGATAAGAACTAGAACCACGCGCGCGCTTCGCGCGCGCTTAGGTTCTGTCGAGTCACAGACCCAGGAATCGTTGTGAGAAGAAATTGGTGACGCGAAGCGTCGTGGGGGCGTCCTTGGACGTCTGGGGTCTCCTGGGGCCTCTTGAGGGGCCTCCTGGGGGCCTCCTGGCGGCCTCTTGGGGCGGAAGGCTCGAGCTTGCGGTTCGTGGTCCCCCTCTGGGCCCCCTCTTGGGCCCGTCTTGGGGCCCTCTTGGGCCATCTTGGGCGCCTCTTGGGCCGTCTTGGGGCCCTCTTGGGCTGTCCTGGGGCCCTCTTGGAAGCTTCTTGGGCCGTCTTGGGGCGGTCTTGGGCGCCTCTTGGGCCGTCCTGTAACGTCGGAAAGCCCAAAAGACAACTTTGTTGAACATGTACGTTTTACGAAGGGAATGGGCAAATTTTTGCGTCTAGGGGCCCTCTTGGGACGCATGTTGGAGGCTTCTTGGGGCCTCTTGGGGGCGTCCTTGGACGTCTGGGGTCTCCTGGGGCCTCTTGAGGGGCCTCCTGGGGGCCTCCTGGCGGCCTCTTGGGGCGGAAGGCTCGAGCTTGCGGTTCGTGGTCCCCCTCTGGGCCCCCTCTTGGGCCCGTCTTGGGGCCCTCTTGGGCCATCTTGGGCGCCTCTTGGGCCGTCTTGGGGCCCTCTTGGGCTGTCCTGGGGCCCTCTTGGAAGCTTCTTGGGCCGTCTTGGGGCGGTCTTGGGCGCCTCTTGGGCCGTCCTGTAACGTCGGAAAGCCCAAAAGACAACTTTGTTGAAATGTACGTTTTACGAAGGGAATGGGCCAATTTTTGCGTCTAGGGGCCCTCTTGGGACGCATGTTGGAGGCTTCTTGGGGCCTCTTGGGGGCGTCCTTGGACGTCTGGGGTCTCCTGGGGCCTCTTGAGGGGCCTCCTGGGGGCCTCCTGGCGGCCTCTTGGGGCGGAAGGCTCGAGCTTGCGGTTCGTGGTCCCCCTCTGGGCCCCCTCTTGGGCCCGTCTTGGGGCCCTCTTGGGCCATCTTGGGCGCCTCTTGGGCCGTCTTGGGGCCCTCTTGGGCTGTCCTGGGGCCCTCTGGGAAGCTTCTTGGGCCGTCTTGGGGCGGTCTTGGGCGCCTCTTGGGCCGTCCTGTAACGTCGGAAAGCCCAAAAGGCGACTTTGTTGAAAATGTACGTTTTACGAAGGGAATGGGCCAATTTTTGCGTCTAGGGGCCCTCTTGGGACGCATGTTGGAGGCTTCTTGGGGCCTCTTGGGGGCGTCCTTGGACGTCTGGGGTCTCCTGGGGCCTCTTGAGGGGCCTCCTGGGGGCCTCCTGGCGGCCTCTTGGGGCGGAAGGCTCGAGCTTGCGGTTCGTGGTCCCCCTCTGGGCCCCCACTTGGGCCCGTCTTGGGGCCCTCTTGGGCCATCTTGGGCGCCTCTTGGGCCGTCTTGGGGCCCTCTTGGGCTGTCCTGGGGCCCTCTTGGAAGCTTCTTGGGCCGTCTTGGGGCGGTCTTGGGCGCCTCTTGGGCCGTCCTGTAACGTCGGAAAGCCCAAAAGACAACTTTGTTGAAAATGTACGTTTTACGAAGGGAATGGGCCAATTTTTGCGTCTAGGGGCCCTCTTGGGACGCATGTTGGAGGCTTCTTGGGGCCTCTTGGGGGCGTCCTTGGACGTCTGGAGGCCATCTTCAGCATCTCGGAGCCCTCTTGGAGGCCTCTTGGAAGTTTCTTGGGCCGTCTTGGGCGCTCCTGGGGCCGTCTTGTCTGACCGGGGAGGCCTCCGGCAAGCCCCGACGAGCCTCCGGGCCCCCCCGGGTGCACATTTGTGGTCGAGGTCCCGGCCCCGGGCCCCCGGACCCGGTGCGCCGTTATATGTATATGTCTAAACCGAGTCTCGGAATCATCAGGCCGGGCCGCATCGGATCGGAACATGCGCAGATCGGGCCGCAGCGGATCGGAGCATCGACACCAGGCCTGCTCGGGCCGGCCGGGATCGAGAGCGCACGGCGTCGGTCGGATCGACGAGGTGGCTCCTGCGACGGCAACGCCAGGGCTCCCGCCGAGGGTCGACGTGGACCCTTCGGTGGCAACTCGTGGGAGCCTTCCGCGCCATCTTGCTGGCTCTTGCGAACCGACGCTGGTCGAGGCTCGTCGACGCTAAATCCGATTTCCCCTCGAACCCGACGCCAGCGCACGCAAGCGCACTCTGGAGACGGACCTACGAGAACTGGGGAACTCAAAAGGTACCAATACCGCTACTCCCTGGACCTCTCCCTGGGCGCGCTTGGACCAGCATTCCGATGCGAATCCAGCGGTGGCGACGAGGGCCATGACCTCCCAGGAGGCCCGCAAACTCAAAGGGGAAAACACGGGCGAAGGATAGCGGTATCGGCGGTATGGGTACCTGCTCCTCCTCTGCAGGGCATGCGGGGCCCATCGGCTCCCATGAGGTGCCACCGCAGGACCACGACGGGGTCGATCGGATCGAGGTGGGCCCTGCCGGGCCGGGAGGGCCCGCGCCGCCGGGGGGCGGCCCCGGGGGCTCCTCGGCGGCGTGCTGCAGCGCGCGGGTGCCGCGGCGGGCGGCGCGGAGGACGAACGCGCGGTCCTGCGGCGGCCAGGAGATCGCCGTGGCCGTTGTCGGGGGCGGCCAAGAGGGGGGGGCGCAAATCATGGCCGGCGGCACGCGCGCGGCCCAGGGGTGGGAGGGGGGGCAGGGACGCCACGACAGCCATGAGATTTGAGGAAACATCACGGCCCAAGCCAGGATGTCCTTCCCCCCCCCTAGTCATCACCCCCCGCTCGGCCGCCCCCGATGTTCAGCCATGTCGCCGCTTATCCAGGGAAGGTGCCGGCCGATTATCTAACCTTTTCGCTCTGGACAGCCCCACGTGCGCCCGCGAGCAGCACCTCTGCGTACCCTTTCGGACCTGCGCGACCGACAAGGCCTGGTCATCCGCGCGGGGCGGCGGGCGGGCGGGCCCGATGGCCCGGGTTATCGTCAGACCCTGAAAAACAGTCTCCAGCCGGCCGCGGGCACCTGCACCCTCTCTATCGCCCCACCCCTCGGCGCGCCACTGGGATCTCGAAGCTCGGGGATCGTAGGGCGCTCCAAAACTTTACGAGGATCGAGGGATCAGGGCGTCGGGACTCGAGGAAGCAGGGCCCCGGGGTCGAAGGATCGAGGGCTCCGAGGATCGGGCGGGGGCGGAACATCGTGCGGGGAAGGGGGTCGTCGTCGCCGTCGTCGCCGTCGCCGCCGTCGCTCGGGGTCGCCCCAGGCCCGCGGGCCACGGGAGAGCATCACCAGAACTTCCGCCGAGCGCTCGTCGTGCTCGTCGTCGGCGGCGCCGGCGGGGCCCCAGCGTGTCAAGGATGGTGGTGCGTGCCACGATCGGGCGGCGGCTACGGTGAGCGAGCGATACGGCCCGCGGTCTCCGACTGTCGATTCCTCCTCCTCCTCCTTCTCCTCCTCCACCTCCTCCTCCTCCTCCTCCTCCTCCCTCCTCCCCCTCCTCCTCCTCCTCCTCCACTCCTCCTCCTCTTCTCCTCCTCTCCTCCTCCTCCTGTCTCCTCCTCTCCTCCTCCTCCTCCTCCTCCTCCTCCTCCTCCTCCTCCTCCTCCTCCTCCTCCTCCCTCCTCCTCACTCCACCTCCTCCTCCTCCTCCTCCTCCTCGTCCTCCTCCTCCTCCTCCTCATCATCATCCTCCTCCCTGCGCCACGGCAGCCGTTGAACGCCCCGGCCCACTGTCCTGCACTCCCCGACACCCCGTTAAACTATTGCCCCCCGCGCTACAGACCAATAGAAAGGTCGGCCCCTGGTGCTCGAAGTCCTGTCTTCTTCGGGGCGCGCCGGGCTGTGGACCCCCCCTTGCCCGCGAACTGCCGAACCCCCCCCGCACATGGTGACCCGTCCCATTTCGGCGCACACCTCGCGCACTTCGTGCCACCTCCGTTTGCGATTTGAGTCGCGAGAGTACGTGCGTGAAGGGAAGCAGTTGAGTGCGGTCTTGCGTCCTTCGGAGACGAGTTCGGCGGCACTGAAAATCCCTGTGTTCTCATGTGTTGAACGGTCCTATGCATCGCCACTGCGTGATTAGAAAGTCTGTCTCCTCGCCAGAATACGTCTTCATATTTGAAGTGTCCCTCCCTGGGCTCGCAACCCCTACTTCAAAACAAAAAGTCTCGAGGCTCCTCTGATTGACCCCTGGCCCCCGAACTACAACGGCAATGGCTCCCGCCTGATGCGCCCCCACAATTCATTCAAAATCGCGCTCGTCCGCGGGAATTCCTTTCAACTTCTGCAAGAATCGCGCTCTCGCGTAGGATTTCCCCGCCATCTGTTGAGACGCCGATCCCTCGACACTCAGGAATCACACTCCCGCTCTGGACTTCCTCACAATTCACTTAGGAATCGCGCTGTTGCTCAAGACTCCCTCGCGATCCATGCAATACTGATACCTCAACGACCCGCCCGCTCGACATGGCCGTAGGGGTCCGCCCGCCCGACACGCCCGTCTGGTTCTGCCGCTTATATTGTCCTGCTCTTAACATCCCCTCCTGCTGATCTCTCTCGTGCTCCACCCGTCTCCATCTCCCGTGCCCCTTCCCTTCTCCCTCCCTTTCCCCTGTCTTAGGGGTTGCGCCAAGTACACATGCCCAGCAAGAGAGATATATAACCACAAGGGGGGTACGATCGAAGACGAAGAGGGCGAGTATCGAGAGTTTGGGATGACTACGTGTTGCCTGTCATGCTCAGAGCAGGGAGTCTTGCAATGATTGGTGTTGTTGCTGCTGCTGTTATTGTTGTGGTTATTGTTGTTAATGTTGTTGCTACAAATGCATTTCTAGCTAACGATTATTGTTGATCTCTGGATATGGTTCCGCACGTCCTCGCCTCGACGCCGGCTGCCGGGGTTCCCGCTCGAGCGCGGGCTCGATTGTAAATGTGTACCCTTGGAGGCCCAGCTACAACGGCAACGGCTCCCGCTCGATACTTTCTCACAATTATTTACCCCGAGGCACACCCTGGCCAGAGAGGCCCCCGAACTCAGGAACGGCGCCCTTGCTCGAGACCTTCTCGCAGTTCAAGTTGGCGGAGGCCCAGCCACGACGACCAAGGCTCCTGCTCGATAGCTTATTACAATTTACTCCGAGACACCCTGGCCAGAGAGGACCCCGAACTCAGGAACGGCGATCACGCTCGAGACTTTCTCCTGATTCCGTCAAATTGGTGGAGGCCCAACTACGGCGACAAGGGCTCTCGTTCGATACGTCCTCAAAAGGTATTCCCAGAGACCCTGGCCAGAGAGGCCCCCGAACTCAAGAGGGGCACTCTCGCTCGAGACTTCCCCGCAAGCCAGGCAAGTTGATGGAGGCCCAAGCACGGCGACATGGGTTCCCATTCGATATTTCTCCATATGTATTCCGAGAGTCCCTGGCCAGAGAGGCCCCCGAATTCAGAAACGGCGCTCTCGCCCGAGAGTTCCTTGCACTTCAGGCAGTGGCCGACAAGGAAAAAAATCCCCCCGAAAAGGGGTGCGATCGAAAACGAAGTGGGTGGGTATCGAGGGTTGGGGCATACAGAGTGCAAGACGCGCGTGCCAGTAAGAGCGAACCATCATAAAAAATGATTGTTGTTGTTGACTACTCATGTCAAGAGACTAACTACTGCTGATCTCCGGAAACGGTTCCGCGCGCTCTCGCCTCGACGCCAGCTACATTTTCTCTGAAAACGAGGCTCCCGCTCGAGCGTTGGCTTGACCCTAAATGCGGGCCCTTGGAGGCCCAGCTATGACAACAAAGGCTCCCGCTCGATACTTCGTCGAAATTTACCCCGAGACACCGGCCAGAGAGGCCCCCGAACTCAGGAACGGCGCTCTCGCTCGAGACTTCCTTGCAATTCGAATAAGTTGGCGAAGACCCAGCCACGACGATAAGGGCTCCTGCTTGATATTTCCTCATCATTTACTCCGAGAGCCCCAGGCCAAGAAGGCCCCCGAACTCAGTCAGGAACGGCGCTCTCGCTCGAGAATTCTTCGCACTTCAGTCAGTGGCCGACAAGGAAGAGATTCCCCCCGGAAAGGGGGTACAGTCGAAGAAGAAGTGGGCGGGTATCGAGGGTTTGGGTATACGGAATGCAAGGCACGCGTGCCAGTAATAGCGAACAGTCTTAAAATGATTGTTGTTGTTGTTGAAATGTTGTTGTTGCTGTTGTGTTGGTGTTGTTCTGGCTCTTGGTGTTGTTATTATCCCACCCGCGCCCCGACCCGCGACCCACCCCGCGACCCACCGCACCCGCGCCCGCCCCCTCACTGCTATCCGCAACCGTGGAGCGCTGCACACACATATGCACACACGCGTGTGCAAAACAGTCCATGCTTGATGCTCCGGGCTCCCAGCTGCGGGCCCCCGGGGTGGAAATCGAGGAGTAACAATCGAAAGGCAAAAATCGTCGGAGACCTGGGGTCCTTGAGGGCCACTGTGGACATCCTGGGGACACCTCGGGCCAGTGCCATCTCCGGCAAACCCTGGAAGATGGAGCCCCTGAAAAACGGCGCGGTGGCAGACCGTGCAGCAAAATCGAGATCTCCAAAAAACAGGACCCCACCGCACGGTCCGTCCGCGCACTGCTCTGGGAGCCCAGAGGCCCTAATCGCCCGAGAGTTCCCCTGAGAACGACCCAGGTTTGAGGGCGTGGAAGATCAGCACCAAAACCAACACAGGGGACTGCCTCCGCCTGGGGAAGATGATGCTGCATGCTGGTGCTGGTAGTAATCTGTCAGCCACCCGAGAAACCCGAATCTTACCACCATCGCCGAGCTCGGGATGATCCTCCCCCGGTGGAAGCACACCGCCGGCAAGTATTGGCGTTGGTGTTAACCTCTAGGCCACCGGCAAATCTCAGAACCGTGCGGTAACCCCGATCCCCCACGAATTCACCACACCGCACCGTCCGTGGGGAAACCACACGGTCCCGATACCGCTAGTTCCCCGACCTCTCCCAAGGTGCGTTCTGACCAGAATGTCGAAGCGAACCCACCGGTGGCGACGAGGGCCTCCGAGGACGCCCAAAAAACGAAAACGCGAAAACGCGGGACGGGTGGCAGGATGGGTACTTCTTCCTCTCTCGATGGAAACGAAGGAACGGGGACCAAAACTGAAAGCGGAAACGAGATGTTGATTTAGATCACCGTTGACTGTGAACACCGTCGCTGTGGATACATGGACCACGACCGAGACCAGCATTAACAATATCCCGTTACAGGTTGGACATGGTCCACATCTTTTATCTCTGGATCCGAGTCCTGGTGAAGGGGCCCTGGGACACACAAATAAATAGACACAAATAACAGGATTCCCCTATATTTTCTCATACGTTCTGGAACCTTGTCTTCCCCCCCACTTCCCATATTTTCCTGTATTTTTCTTAGGAATCGACGATTAATTGTGTCTGTGTTTTTTCCCGTCCGGACTTGGGGCCCCCCAAGAAGGCAGGGCGGAGCGGGGGTTCCTCCCGGAGCCGCTGCGCGGCAAACCTCGCGGGCCGGGAATGTGCCGTGCTGGGCGGGCCCGGGCGGCCTCCCGTCCCTCCTCGAGCCCTCCTCCCCCCTACCTCCTCCCTCCTCCCTCCCCTCCCTCCCTCCCTCCCTCCCTCTCTCCCTCCCTCCCTCTGATGCCCCCTCCCTCTGATGCTCCATCCCTCCTCCCTTCCCTCCCTGCGGCGACTGCGTCCGCGCGAGCGCCCGAACACATTGATCGGGAGCGGGCGCAGCCCGCCAACCCCAGGACCAGCCCCCCGCTCAGCTTAGGCTGGCCCCAGAACGGAGGATGTGCGCCGGCCGGGGCCCATACACTTCGAGAATTGGGGCCGCCAAGGCGCACGCGACGGCGGCGTGGTGGTCCACCGCGAGCTCCGGCCAAAGCCAGGGCCCAGCAGCCAAAAGCCCCAGCGCACGCCCTGCTGCCCGCCCCGCCGGCAATTCCTCGCCCGTCTGCGCCGCGGCACCTGGCCCGAGGGTGTACTGCTGTGGCGGGTCTTCCCGTCGCCGCCGCGCCACAGGCGTGCAGCCCCACGCTTTCCGCCACGCCCCCGGCACATGACCCGTGCCCTCAGCAGTGCCTGCCCCAGGCAAGCTCGCATGCCCCGCGTGGGCCGGCGATCCCGCTATAGCCGAGCGCGCCCGCACCCGAATGGCGCTGCGCGCAGGACTGTCTGGGTCTGCGCGCGCTCGAGCACCGGGGCGGGCCCCTGTCCGGCGGCAGCGGCGCGTGCATCGCCCGCATGAGCATCAGCGCGGACGGCCCCATGCGGCCCCCGCTCTCCAATAGCAGCGGCACGAGCTCGGGGAGTGGGTAGCGGGTCCGTTCAGCGCGCTCCAACGCGAGGGCGAGCCCACCGTCCTGCGAGGCCGCGGACCGGGCGAGCGACCCCCTGATGCTGGGGTGGCCGACCGTGACGTCCGCGTGCCTGGTGCGCCCCCCCGGCAGCGCGAAGCTCAGGTCGCCTCGCGCCTCGCATCCAAAACCACCTGCTCCAGCTGCGGCGGGGCCCTCAGCGCGTCTTCGAGCGTGCCGGCCCACACGTGCTTGACGCGCTCGTGCTGACGCACGTGGCCTGGGCCCTGGGCGCAGCAGAGCGCGTGCGTGGCCAGCGTGTCACGCTGCGCTTGCGCCGCGGGCACTCCACTGGGCGGTCGGCGACACGTATGCGACTTGCAACCTACCTCCTTATAGCACGGGGTTTATAGCACGGGGGTAAGTGCTGGAAACCGTCGTAGGTAATGGGAACTGTTGTAAGTGGTGTTCTTGCGGTGTAAGTGTAGTTGCGCTGCTTAAAAGTATGTGATGCTGTTGTGCCGAGCGGGGCAAGTTACTTAAACGTTCCGGCGAGCGACTTAGACGCATGTATTAGTAACTTAACCGTACGTGGGACTACTTCTACGCAGACTGAAAGCTCCCGCCGGACGATGCATTTCGCCAGGCGCCACCGTCCTTCCAAACCCGTTTCCCTGGCCCAACCCTGCTCAGCCCCGAGTCCCATGGAACATCATATACCGCAGCCCACGGATGGCGCAGTCATGGCGCAACCCTTTGCTCATATTATGTTGCTTTTGCACGGAAGTGCCCAGGCTGGCGTCGGAGCAGGCGGCCTGAGCTGTAGAGGAGCAGGAGTAGGAGGAGGACAGAGGGGGGAGGAGGCGGAAAACGACCACGACGACGACGACGACGACGACGACGACGACGACGACGACGACGACGACGGCAACGATATCGATGCCGCAGAGGAAGCTGGCGGGGCCCACGGGTTGTCCCTCTCGGTTCTACTTGATTACGCCCGATGTATGTTTGTCGTCTGGGCTGGCGCTGGGGCGAAGCAACGATATGCCTTGTGATCATCGCTGTACGCATCCGTAATAAGCTGGATCTGTCCTTGCGGCCACCTCATCCCAATCCCTTCACTCCGTCCGTCTTCCCTCCCTCCTCCCTTGTCCCTTCTCGTCACTCCCCGCCCGTTCCAACCCTTCCCTCATTTCCTGCCTCACGCCATGCATTATCAGGTGCTGTTGTATTTTTCTCGCGGGGACAGTTTCTGCTACAAGGTGCCACGCGTCGACGCGACTTCGGCGCCAGTCGATCGAAGCACAGCAATGAATCGAGAGCCGTGCACCTGGGACGGCACTCGCTCAAGACATCCTGAAAGAGACGGGCAAGGGAGGGGGGGGGCGAGAGAAAGGAGGCTTGAGTATAGATTATGGCAACACGGAGACATCACCCGAAACAGTGCCCCCCACCCTCCCGTGCGAGCACACACAGGCGCTGTTGCCCTTTTCCTCGTGGGGACAGTTTCTGCTACAAGGTGCCGCGCGTCGACGCGACTTCGACGCCAGTCGATCGAAGCACAGAAATAAATCGAGAGCCGTGCACCTGGGGCGGCACTCGCTCAAGACATCCCAAACCCGACAAGGGCTACCCGAGCCCTCAAGGTTCCCGGGGACGGGCGGGACAGGGCATCAAAAAGCGAGGAAGCAAGCTAGGAACCCCACGTAGGCGGGGCAGAAGGCCGGCGCCAACCAGACACAAAAGAGGCAATGCGATCACGCTCATGAGACAGCAACATCTGGACCATGGCTTTACACAAGGTAGGGGGGTAAGAAGCTGCAACGGCCGCCCACTTTACACCTGATGGCGCGGCCCCTTCCAGTACGAAATGTTTCCTACCCGTGCGACTGCACACGCCTGAGCTCCCTTTACACCTACGATCGAATTTCATCGTATCGGACATTTCCACGAAGAAGAAGGCAAGCTTTGTGCGTTTCCGCCAACAACGTCCGAACTGGCACTGATCAAAAGTCCTAGCGTGGCCTCTAAACTTCTCAAGGAGACCTATAAACTCAGGGGTGTGCCAGATTATTGAGTTGACTGGGTGCTCAAGGATTGTTGGAACCTGACATCTACACAAAGCTCGTAAAATCTGCAAGGCACACCGAAAGACTTTGTTGCCGCGCTCAAGGCGCTCACACTGACGTCTAGTCAACTCGATAGCATCTAAGCCCCGCGGCTGCAGCCTCGAACGGGTGGGGCCGCGTCTGCCTCGGCCCGCCGCTCCGTCCCAAGCATCGCACGGCGGGCCCAAGACGGCACCCGACACTTCCTTTCGTGCTGTCGCCGTCGTCACGCACTTGATCACTCTGGGCGCTGTCAAGTCCTCGTGGGGCCCGCGGGCGCGATCGCACGCGTGAGCGCTGCAACCCTGCTGGACCGCGGCCCGCGCGACGCCGCCTGCGCGGTCTGCCGCAGAGCATGTCCTCGAGCGCCCCCTCGCATGCTTCCAGCAGCTGGCGCACTGCGACTGGAAGAAGCTCCCAACTCTCTCCCAGCCTGGCGCCCTTCTCGCACCGCTGGACACTCTTGATGCTTGCCCACTGCCCGCGACGCTGTGCCTCGGACACCGTCCGATATCTCCTCGCGATGTCGATCGACGGTCCCGAGTGCCGCGTCTGATACGGCACGATCGTCTCTGTGATGCCGAGCTCGGTCAGCGAGGTCTTGAACTCCTGGGGATACTGAGGATACGTGAAGGTCCAAACCACCTCGTCCTTCGGCCCGCTGGCCAGTGCCCTCAGGATGGGGCACATGAATTGCAAGTAGGGCGAGTCCATCTCGAGGCTGAAGTCGCTGAGGTCGGTCTTGCTCCGCTCGATCTGCTGAGAAGGGAAGAGCAGCAGGCTCCAGAGCGGGGAGATGCCAGCAGCAGGCGCGATCACGCCACGCGCCTTGAGGCCCATCAGCTCGTTCGGCCTCAGGTAGCTGCTGAGCGAGACCAAGAGGAAGACCGCCATCTGAAAGAGGTTGCGCTCGACTAACCTCCAGGCCACTCCAGCTCACAAGGCTAGGGGCCAGCTGCGCCTGCTGCGGCCAGGGGCCCGGCGCCGCCAGCCTTTCAAGCAACGGAAGGCCCGGGGGAGCTGGCGGTGGCCAGCCCGCGAAAACTCCGGCGCCAAGCACATCAGGCCAGCAAGGATATGCCCCCCCTTGTTGGCGTCCCAACCTTTGAAAAAGAGGAAGTTGAAGTACTCCACCAGCACGCCGTCGACTTGCTCGTCGCGCACCAGCGGGCGCTCTCCTGCGAAGTCCGTGAAGCCCGCCACCTCGGCACGGTACCGCTCCAGCACCTCGGGCGTCACCGAGCTCTCCTCGAGGAAGCTGCTGAGACCCCCGGCTGCGGTAGCCAGGGCTGTGCCCAGGAACTTGCGCCTCCTCTGGTGGCCCGTGCGCCGCAGCACTGCCCTCCGCGCGGCGCCAGGCCCTGGCGTCTCCTCGTCGTCGGTGCTGCTGCTCTCGCCGACGTCTGCCAGCGCGGGCTCGCGCCTCAGGCGATCCTCGCTGTCGGGGAGGGTCAACTCCTGGCGTCGACAGCTCAGCCTGTCGCGCAGCACCAGCTGGACATCCTGCGGCCGCAAGGTGGCCTTTCTCTGGTTGGCCAGCTTCCCGTGCCCTCGCTGGCACTTGCTCGATCGAGGCTCCGTCGGTGGTAGGGTTGCCTGCCGCTTGCTGGGGGGCATCGCCTCTCTGACTCCAGGAATCGGAACGATCACAGAAAGTGCATGGTAAAGCTTGAGACGAAATGTCTACGCACCTGCCAAGGGGGACAGCAGAAGCGGGAACAGCTAAATTACATCGGCTCGGGGATTGCGGGCATTTCGAAGTCTCCTTTAAACTGCTGCCTTTGACACTCAAAAAAGCAGGAATATCTCGAAAATCCTAGCACACGTATCCGAGAAGTTTAATGCGGAAGGGATCCAGCGCACAGCCCCTACGACGTTTCTGGCCAGGCAGTGGGCCTGGAAAACGCGGATCTGAACAAGAAGCAAAACAAAAATTGGCACGGCTTCGGCCGAAAGCGAGGGTGACCGACATATTGTCGCACAACAGAAGCTGCCTCATGCCACACTTGTAAGCTAGTTACAACACGTATGAAGCCTCTGACTAGGGCACGAGCCTCCTTAACCAAGATCCCCTCAGACTGTTGCCACTTTTGCACTCTCGCCAGGCGCCACAGATCTGACTTCAAAAGGCTAGCGGGCACCTCGGGAAACGAAAGATCTACCTCCCAATCCGGTGCCTCTTCGGAGGCAGCACCCTCCTCGTCAAAACTTTCGGCGGCGGCAACTGCCCAGCTGCCGTCCGCTTGCCGACTGAAGCCGGCTGTCTCGAGGGCACTCTCCCGCGCTCGGTGGGAACCCACGCGGCGGAAGCGTTGCCGCTCGGAGGTGCGGCCCACCTCCCGTACGGCCTGCACGGGCCAGAGCGCCTGCGCCACCGCGTACCCCTCGAGGCTGCTGTCGGTCTGAACCACCAGGTCATTCCAGCAGCGCAGCCAGTCACTGAACATGAAGATCATGAAGGACTTGAAGGCCTGCAGCTCGGAGCGGCACTCGCCCCACAGCGGCTCGGCTCGGCCCGAAGTCCGACCTCGCTCCACGAAGGCATATACCGAATGGAAAATGCTTAGCAGGCCCCGGCAGCACAGAGCGGCGAACGCGCAGTGGCCCAGGACGACCTCCAGCGCCCACGCGCTGGCCCGACGGCGCCGCAGCAGCGCGCCCAGCGACTGGTATATGTTCCAGAAGCGCTTGGGCGTGACCCGAGTCCGCAGCGCCGCCCCGTCGAGCTCCGTGCCAAGCGCGATCATACTGCCGCGCGTCCGCTCCGACTTGTGCAGCAGTAGCCCCTCGCGGTGGCAGCCCTCCTCCAGCCGCTCGAGCGCCTCACCAACTGCAGCCTCACAAACACCTATCACTCCGAGGTTGTCTACGTAGACGTAGTGACTGGGCGCTCCGCGGCCCTCGGCCAAGGCAGGCCCTACCACCAGCGGCGGCCCGCGATCGTGCAGAGGGGATCCAGGAAGGGAAGGCGCAACCTTGGTCACAGTAGACTCGTTGATCCTCTGGGCGATCCACAAGCTCCAGGTGAAGCCCATGGGGGGCGCGGCCCAGCGCGGCGTCACCGCCTCCGCGCGGCCGAGGACTCGCCCGTTCACCTCCACGCCCGCCACGCCCATCACGTGAGCCGGCGCGGGAGGGAGGCAGAAGTAGTCTGACAACCAGGCTGGCACGCGTAACCTTCGAAAACAATTAGACGCATCCGAGGAGGCCGATCGAAAGGTAAAAATCCCCCAACAGCTTGGCGGCCTGCTCGGGCCCCAGCGGCGCGTCAGCCGGCAGCTCCACCTCTATCCTCGACAGCCCCTCCGAGCTCAAGAGGGCGACTTCAGGCGGCGCCTGGAACCACTCGTTGGCCCGCCTGGCGTCGACAATCAGCCTCTGGGCCGCGCCGCCGCCCCTCTCCACCGTGAAGAGGCCTCCCCGACATTTAGGCGAGCTGGTCCAAGTAATTTTGCCGATGTCTGTCAGACGACGGAGGAGCCGATGATATTCTTCCTGATTGAAACGTAGCTTTGGATCAAAGTAGGGAATCGTCTCATACTTCTCAACAGGCGGCGCCAACATACGCCCACGATAGTCCCCCAGAAATCCAATGACCTCAGAGGGCGCCACGTCGGTTATCAGCGGACACCCTCGAACAGAACCTGGGAGGCTCAGAAGGTCGAGCTTGAAGGACGTGACCCTTGTCGGACAGCCCGCCGCCTGATACGGGGAATGTCCTTGAAGCAACTTCTGGAGAGCCGCCTCGTCGCTGAGTTGCGGAGGGCGCGGGTGCCAGCTGTCGACCAACTCATACACCCTCCGCTGGGCGTCCACCTGCACATCGTCGGGTAGCACGCCCGGGCCGCGATCCGCCCACAAAAACTCCTTCCAGCCCGCCATCCAGCTCAGTGCTTCCAGCGCGTCATTCGCCATTCCTAGGCGACCACGGCCGCGCCCGGGGCGCGCTGAATCCAGCGGCAGGAGAGGAAGCGGAAACAGGCTTCGCTGCCCCCGCGAGGCCGCCAGTCTGGGGCGGCCGCCAGCCCCCTGAAGCCGACCAGGGTCGGGGGACCCCCTGGCCGGCGGGGCCGCCATGCAGCCCCGGGGGCGCCGGCGCCGCGGCCTCGGCCTCTGCCGCCGTCACCGCGCCCACGACCGTCCCCGCCTCCCTTGTCCTCGCCTCCAGCGCCCCTGCCAGCGCCACCGCCGCCACCAGCGCCGAAGTCGCCCTCTGGCGCGCCCGAGGGGGCGCCGCGCAGCGCCTGCAGGCCTTCTCGATCCTCGCGCATCTTGCGCGCTACGTGGGCCCGCCGCACTGGGCCAGCAATGTCCTCGGCCGACTGCACGCCCGTGTAGTACTTCGCCACCTCCCACTGCGCGCGTTGTGGATTAGCGCGCGCCGCCACGATGCCCGCCAGTCGCTTACGCAAAACTTCCAGCGCCATCAGACCGCCCAGATTCACCTGGTCGTAGCAGCCCGCCATGCACAAAGCCTCGCATACACAACGTAGCTCGTGGGCGACGCGGTCCGTGCTGGCCAGCCCCTTCTCTCGAAGGTACTCACGTAGCCAGAGCCTCGGATCGCTGCCCACCCTCAGCATACTCTTACAAGTAGTGAGCGCACTCGGGGGAGCATCCATCGGCTGGTCACTGAACTCCTCCTGGCTACTTTCATGCACCGCCTCACGCCAAGGCTTGAAGCGCTCGCCCTGGCCGTCGAAGTCCACCGCCAGCAGCCTGACATCCTCACTTTTGATCGGCCCCGCGGCGGCCTCCCCAACCTGGGCGGGCGCCTCGGCGGGCGGCGGCAGCGGCGGGCGAGCCAGGCGGTCACGAAGGTCCGCCTCGGCGCCCGCTCCTGGCAGCCCCAGGCGACGGCGCAACTCGGCGGTACGAGTGTCGGCATACTCGGGCACGTCCTCGACTGGCATTCGCCTCACCCTGGCGAAGCCGTCGTCCACGAAGATCAGCCCCGAGGTGTCCGACGCGCCAACGAACGTCGACTTGCGGATGTCCACTTCGCTGCCGATGGCAGCGGAAGGGACGGGCTCCGCCAGCGCCCAAGCGTGCCCAGCAAGCAGCGGCAGCACGTCAGCCGCAGGCTCCTCTGCCTCCGAAGCCTCGGGCGTGGCCGTACCGCCAGGGGTCACCCCGGGCCTGGGCCGCGCGACCAGAGCCGCGGTCAGCGGCTTCTTGCCTCGAAGCCTCACTCCCGGCACGGGTGGGAAGCTGCCACCGAAGAAACGCTCGATCAGCATCAGCTCGCCAGCGGGCTCCTGCACGCGCTCGGGCACCACGGGACGCTGGCCAGGGCGGCACTCCGCCTCACAAGCCTTACGGCCCCGCAGGATGCCCTCTCGCAGCTCCAAGGCCCCGACCCGCTCCGCGAAGCGGTACAGCTTACGCCGCCCTCGGCCTCTGGCCCCAGGCGGCAGCGAGCCGTCGGCGGGCAGCAAGCGGCAGCGCACTGGGCCGTCCGACGCGTCCTGGCAGGCCACGTCCTGGAAGTACTCATCGCCGTCTGGTGTTCGAATCCACCAAACTCCGCCGCCGAGAGGATGGAGCAGGATCCTTTCGTGATCTACGTCGTCGCCTTCGTACTCCATGGCCACGTACTGGCCGGGGGCCAGGTCACTGTACCACTCCACCTCCTCGCCGAACGGGAGGAGCGCCATGTCTCACCGCAGCGGATCGGCCACGCCCACACCAGCGGCCCGCCACGAAGCCCAGGAGGTTGGTGAGCACGGGTGGAACGAGCAACCACACGGCCTGCTCTCCAGGCGATGGGCCCTGCAGCTCTACCTGCGGGCAAGAGCAGGCTGGGCAGGCCGGGCACTGGGGCACCACTGGGCACACCGCCTCCAGCCAAGCAGGCGAGCCCTCGGGCCCACCACGGCCCAGCGCCGCGCCAGCGTCGGGCGGCGGCGGCGGGGGCGGCGGCCCACCAGGCCCGAGCAGCCCTTCGGGCAGCAGCCCAACCTCGGCGGCGCGCCAGCCCGCCCAGGCGAGGGCCACCGCGAGGACCGCGATCGGGGGCCGGCCGTCGGCAGGGCCCATCGACGCCTCTGACGAGAGAAAGGAGGCTCGAGTATAGATTATGGCAACACGGAGACATCACCCGAAACAATACCCCTCACCTTCCCGTGCGAGCACACACATGTCCCTCCCCCCCCCTCCCCCCCTCTCGCCCCCCGCCCCTCCCCCGCCTGCTTTCCTCACTCCTCCCTTCATCCTCTCCCTCCCTCCCAACGTCCTGCAGTCGGACTTGATTGGACAGGACACGCGAGAGGACACAAGACCCTTCCGAGGGCCACACTGCCGCAGGAATGCAGGAAGCGTGGGTCGCAAGACACAGGACACAATAGGTACCCCTGATCCGTCAGGATCGACCTGCTAATCCGGGCCGCCTGTACCCCTCCCTTTTGGGGGCGGAACCACAACAAGGGGGGCGTGACTGCGCTCGGGAGGCGCAGCGTCGTCCGAGAGCCGAGGGACGATCGGGCACCCCCTTCCCTGCCGCCAGACGGCCGCCAGACGCTCTGGCCGTAGGGGCCCGCCGAACGGACCGTCCGAGCCAGGCACGTGCCACGCGCTGGACCACTTCGGGGGAGGAGGAGGAGGGGGGGGAGGCCAAGAAGGAGGGGGAGGAGATAGGAGGAGGAGGAGGAGGAGGAGGAGGAGGAGGAGGAGGAGGAGGAGGAGGACGAGGAGGAGGAGGAGGAGGAGGAGGAGGAGGAGGAGGAGGAGGAGAAGAAGGGAGGAGGAGGAGAGAGGATGAGGATTAGGAGAAAGAGGAGGAGAAAACAGTGTAAACTCACGACTCATCCACGAAACTGGAATAAACCCTCCCCCGAAGCTCCCTCTTTGGCAGGCTCCTACACGAGTTCATTCCCACTGAGGGAACTGCCTCGTTGGGAGACAACCATTCGAAGACCCTGAAGCGTGCCAAAAAACATCATTCTCGGGACTCCAACGCCACGAATCAACCAGACTCTTGCGTCCTGACAATCTGGAATCGTGCCAGAACGCCAGCCCTGGGACTTCAACACGGCGAACCAACGTAACTGCTGCTCCCGCACAATCCTTCCAGAACACCATTTCTGGTACATTGACCATGGGAATCCGTGAAACTGTTGCGAATGTTTGAGACGAGAGTGCGCGGCGCTACGGCGAGAACCACACGTTGAAAACGAACCGCCCTCAATCCATGAAATTCATGCAATGTTTAAAACGAGTGTGCGCGGCTCTGCGTCGAACACCACATTTTGAAACCGAACCGCCCTCAATCCGTGAAGCTCTTGCTTTGTTAAGAACCAATGTGCGTGGCGCTAAGGCGAGATTCACAGGTTCAAAACGCCCCGCCCTCAATCCGTGAAACTTCGATATGTGTGACGACGAATGCGCGCGGCTCTGGAGCGAAAACCACATTTTGAAAACCACCCGCCCTCAACCCGTGAAACTCAGGGTCATGCATGCATGGTGAGGGAGTCTCAGGCAACACGCCCGGCACGCCATTTCGACAGGCCTCGGGGTGCATGCAGGAGGGAGGCGATATCTAGAAGGAAAAGGAATGGAGGAGGAGGAGGAGGAGGAGGAGGAGGAGGAGAAGGAGGAGGAGGAGGAGGAGGGATCGCTCGACCCTGTTTCTGGACAAGGCCGCTCCCAAGATACATCGGAACCGCCCCCGCGGGCCGTCTCATTGGCCGCACAGCCTAGGCGCAGCAGCCTGGCATCCCCAGCTCGGTCATCATCGCGCACCAGCGTCGTATGCATTACAATCGAATCCAATGGTAAGGCTTGATAAACTTCGCAAGAGTGACCGTGCATCCCATCCATTTCGTCTATCCTTATCCCCTTTCGATGGCGAGATACGCTCGAGAAGCTTCGTCATGGACTCCAAGGGTCTTGCATCCTTATCGAGCATCCCTACGATCAATATCGGCTGTATGTGTAAAAGGGAGTTTTGGGCAGGTTCCGCCACATTAGTGCCTCTTAGTGTATATCAATATCCCTGTAGTGCCTATTAGTGCCTACTTGCGATCACTCATAATTACTCACGAGTGCGCATCCAAAGCAGTGACACCGTGCCTATTAGTGCCTACTTGCGATCACTCATAATTACTCACGAGTGCGCATCCAAAGCAGTGACACCGAACCAGTGCGTGACCCTTGACTTTGACGACGACGACGACCCTCCCGCCCAGGTCCCGAACACGAGCCCACACTCCTTCCGATAACAGCACACGTCAGCACCGCACCAAGTGGTCTCAGTGCGGACTTTCTCGAAACTGCTGACCAGCCAGTCGCAATCCGAGGAAGAAGGGACCGGACCGAGGCTGGCATCAACAAGGTACATCTTCGGAGCGAACAGCTCGGCCACCTCCGAGCTTTGACAAGATCCTGACAGGGGGGCCGCACAGCGACGCAGGCACATCGAGCCCGCTTGTGTCGACCTGCCCCACCCACTGAGTGGCCTGACCGGCCCCCGGAACACACACACCCTCGAATAATCCCGGAGGTGGGGCGGAGCCTCCTCCGCACACGCAGCTCCGCCTCGGGCCCCAGAAGCCCATGGCCGTGGACCGGCCACGAGCGAGGGCTCCCAACGGGGCCAGGTGGGGGTGCTCTCGCGCGCCCGTGAGGAGCGGGGGGGAGAGTGAGGAAGGAGCGCTGGCGGCTCGCACAACGGGGCAGGCGGAGGGGGGGAGGCCTCTGAGGAGGCCGATCCTTAGAGGGCGCCCGCCCCACACCTGCAGACGAGACCTGCACCGTCTGAGAGGCAGGGGTGCTTCTCTAAGAGGCCTTCCCCACTCCCACTGCCCCCCTCTGCGCGTGGCCGAGGGCGAGGGAAGGGAGCGGGGTGAGAGAGAAAGAGAGAGAGAGAGAGAAAACAAAAAAAACAGAAAAAACAAAATCAGCACTGCCCCTCCTGGGCCAATTCTGCAACCCGCGGCCAGCCGAGGCAACCAGGGCTCCCGGAGACGATGCCCACCGCCCTCGCCAGTCGCCGGTCGTCGTCGCCGTCGCCGGTCGTCGCCAGCCGCCGTCGCTGTTCGCCGTCGCCTGTCGCTGGTCGCCGTTGAAGTTCTCGGGCCAAACGAAAGGGGGGCTGCTGATCAGCTTACGTAGCTGATTCGTAGCTTACGAAGTGAACGAACGGCGCCTCCTGGCGACAGTGCACGGGGCCGAAACCAGCTGCACGCAGTAGATTTCGTATCCCCCGCCCTCTTCCTGCCCCTCCTTTCGTCCGATCCGATCCTCATCATCCTTCCCCCCTTCCTACCTCCCTCCTCGCCCCGCCTCCTCCTCCTCCTCCTCCTCCTCCTCCTCATCATCATCATCATCATCATCATCATCATCATCATCATCATCATCATCAGCAGCAGCAGCAGCAGCAGCAGCATCATCATCATCATCATCGTCGTCGTCGTCATCATCATCATCATCATCATCATCATCATCATCAGCAGCATCATCAGCAACATCATCATCATCATCATCATCATCATCATCATCATCATCATCATCATCATCATCATCATCATCATCATCATCATCATCATCCTCCCCCTGCACCTGCATCCTCCTTCCCCTCCTCCTCCCCAATTTCCCTCCTCCTCCACCACCTCTCTCTTTTCAGCTGCCTTGGGGTAAAGAAGCAGCGCTACCCACTGGCATGACCACGGACAATCGCCCCCAGGTGCCGTCCACCGCCGCCCCTCTTCCTCCTCCCCCTTCCCCTCCTCATCCTCCATTCCTCATCCCCCTCCTCTGGAGGAAACCAAGCAATACCGATGCCGTTACTCCCGGGACCTATCCCCAGGTGCATTTTGACCAGAATCCTGAAGCGAAACCAGCTGTGGCGGAAAGGGGTGAAGGCCAGGGAAGGGTAGCAGCATCTGTGTTTTCCCAACCATTCTGTGTTGGGTCCTCGTTTTGAAGCGACAGAGCCCCGCGTTCCTTCCTCCTTTCCTCCTCCCCTCCTCCTCGTCCTCCTCCCTCTCCTCCCACCTTCCCCTCCTTGCCTCTGCCATCCGCATGTCCGTTTCACCACACCCCTCACACGGTTCGTGGCCCTATTGGGAGCTCCACCGAAGGCCCCAGTGGCCGCGTCCGCATGCGCCCTTCCCGCCCACCGCATGCCCATTCTGGCTCACCCCTCACACGTTTCGTGGCCCCATAGGGAGCTCCACCGAAGGCCCCAGTGGCCGCGTCCGCATGTGCCCTCCCCGCCCACCGCATGCCCATCTTGGCACACCCCTCACACGCTTCGTGAACCCATAGGGAGCTCCACCGCAGGCCCCAGTGGCCGCGTCCGCATGAGCCCTTCCCGCCCATCGCATGCCCATCTTGGCACACCCCTCACACGTTTCGTGGCCCCATAGGGAGCTCCACCGAAGGCCCCAGAGGCGGCGTCCGCATGCGCCCTCCCCGCCCACCGCATGCCCAAGTCGGCACACCCCTCACACGGTTCGTGGCCCTATTGGGAGCCTCCCGGTGGCCGCGTCCGCATGCGCCCTCCCCGCCCACCGCATGCCCATTTCGGCACACCACTCAGTTCGTGGCCCCATAGGGAGCTACACCGAAGGCCCCAGTGGCCGCGTCCGCATGCGCCCTCCCAACCCATCGCATGCCCAGTTCGGCACGCCCCTCACACGGTTCGGCTTGCTCCCCC